TCTGATGGCTCGAGTGATCATTCATGGGATGATAGTGGAGACGATGAAAATAATGCTGATTCGTCTGATGGTGATAGTGATGATGATGATGGTATTAGATTGGATGATGATTCTAAAAATGGTAATGGCGTAGATGATCATCCCAACGTCGATTCGTCTGAAATACTTATCACGAGAGACGTTAGTGTCTCCGATCGCCGAGGTCCCACTTGGACTTATACTGTTCCGCTTAGGTCGATGTGTTTTGGAGGATGTGTCTCGCGCTTAAGACCTTCGAAAGTTCAGTGTACAATCTTTGTTAAGGTCTTACAGACGTGGACGCATGAGCTAATTTCAAAACGTTCTTCTTTTGAGGTTATATTGTCAGATGAACAGGTGGTTGGTTTATGTAGAGAAATATTTGTGTTTTTAACATATTTATAAAAAAATTCGTTTGTTCTTATATAATGATATTTTTTGTTTTCAAGGGTGTTAAAATCCAAGCGACTGCTCGAGGGAACGACTTGATTGGTGTTGAGTCACGTGTTGATGTTGAAAGGTTGGATTGTTATCGGTCTTTTTGATGTTATCGATTGCAATGGTAGCTGTAGACCGACCTCTCATCCTTACAAGATAGTTTTTCTACCATCCAGTACCATTGACAAGACATCCCGTCAATGTGAAAACAGATATTTTGACTTTGTGAACTTCCAAAGTATATTGCATCGTGTCCATGATGATGATTATTTAGTTGGTGTGTTTATTTTTCTTATAAGCGTTGGTTTTTGATTATTATGTTGATGATTATGATTATTTGGTCTAACTTTTGTTGAATTTCTTAGATTTGATAGGTTGTGTCCTGGATGTGAAACGGTCTACGAGTTGTCTTGGTCTGATATCTGATCAGTATACTGATCAGAGTGAATGGGGTGCATATTCAATCGTTACTTTTTTTTAAAGGACAAACGGTATTTCTTTATCAGAATTATTGATTTGTGTATGATTTAGTAATGTGTATTATTAGTTATGGTTATTATATTCTTTTGTTTTTATTTAGTGGTTTTTGTTTGGGTTGTGAGCTTTCTTGAATGATGGCTAGAGATTTTTACACATCTTGGAAGCTCTGTGGTCAGGATTTGATTGTGTGTGTGCTAAGATGGGCAGTCATTGATTATTTTGGAGGTATTTTTTATAAAACAATTTACTATCGTATTTATGGTTGGTATTATATATTAGTTGTTTTGATCCAATGTATGTGTTTATATAAGCAGGGAAAATTACTATATCGTCAACTTATCCTACTACGTTTGAGCTCAATCCTTCTATCCCAGAAGTTGATGATTTCTTAGAACAGTAAGTTTTTAATGATATTGTTAGATTATTAACTTCTTATTTTGATGATCT